AGGGTGGTCCAGCTCAGGGTGCTTCTTCTGGGGGTGCTGAGCCTGGGGGTGCGGAGCCTGGGGGTGCTGAGCCTGGGGGTGCGGAGCCTGGAGGTGCTGAGCCTGGGCGTGAGGAGTCTGGGGGTGCTGAGCCTGGGGGTACTGAGTTTGGGGGTGCTGCACCTGGGGGCGCTGAGGCGTCTGGTGAGCACTCTCTTTGGAGTGGCCGTCTCCGTAGTCGCTCCGCTGGTGCCTTGCCGCTGCACTCTTGTCGTCGTCTCCCTCTCTCCCCAAAGCAGCTGCGTGAGTGGTACGTTGGCCATCAGGGTCGAGCTGCTGGAGCTGGGGGCCCTGCTGCGGGAGGTGCTGGTGTTGGAGGCACTAGAGCCAGCGCTGTCCCTCTCTCCCCACAGCAGCTGCGTGAGTGGTACGTTAGCCGTCAGGGTCGCGCTGCTGGAGCTAGGGGCCCTGCTGCGGGAGGCGCTGGAGCTGGTGACTCTGCTACTGGAGTTGTTTCTACTGGAGTTCTTGGAGCAGCTGGTCCCGGAGGTGCTCGTAGTGGAGGTACTGGAGCTGCTGGGACTGGAGGTCTTGCTGGACCTGGAGGTGCCGCTGTTGACTCTGAGGTTGGATGCCCTGGAGCTGGAGGTGCCGGTTCTGGGGGTGCTACTGCCGGTGGCGCTGGAGGTGGAGGTTTTGGAGCTGCTGCGGGTGCTGGCGCTGGAGGTTCTGGAGCTCTTGGAGGTGCTGGCGCTGGTGGCGCAGGAGCTGGAGGTTTTGGAGCTGCTGCGGGTGCTGGCGCTGGAGGTTCTTAAGCTGTTGGAGGTGTTGGCGCTGGTGGCGCTGGAGCTGGAGGTTTTGGAGCTGCTGCGGGTGCTGGCGCTGGAGGTTCTGGAGCTGTTGGAGGTGCTGGCGCTGGAGGTTCTAGAGTTGTTGGAGGTGCTGGCGCTGGTGGCGCTGGAGGTGGAGGTTCTGGAGCTGCCGCGGGTGCTAGCGCTGGAGATTCTGGAGCTGCAGGAGGTGCTGGAGCTACTGGTGCTGGTGGCACTGCACCGCCGGGACTGTTCTTCGCTCCGCCGTCACCTTCGTCTCTGCCACCGCCTGGCTCCGTGCTTCGCCAGGTTCTTAGTCTCCCGTCTTCTACAGGTCTTCGTTACAGCCTAGCTCACCACTGCGTGCTCCTTCTCCTTACACTAAGCTGACAGGCGGTCTTGCTGAGCGTCGTGAGCCTGCGTCTCGTCCTGTCTCGCCTGTTCGCACTATCCGCACTGGTTGTTCTGGTGGTCGTGTTCCTCGTGAGCGTCCGCCGGCTGTCCCCGGCACACCTCATGGCCCTGCGTCCTTCCTCTGCTCCGTAGCGTGTTCCCCTGCCGTCCCCTCCTGCGTCTTCTCTGCGTGACATTCTAGAGCCTGAGTCTCACCGCGCTCGTGCTGCTCACCCTACTGTCACGCGTCTGCTAGCCACAAGTGTCACTGACGCGTCGTTCGAGTCTGCTGCTGCGTCTGCCTTTGTCGCTGAGCTTGTTGAATTTGCTACTGCCTGTCGTCTAGACTTCGCCGCTAGTCTTGTTGCTGAGTCTGAGTCTGTCTGTCCTCCGTCCGTCGGGGGTGAGTGTGCTCTTGGCACGGACGTCCTTGAGGACAAGCAAGAGGACCTTGAGTGTCTTGCAACCGCTGCGCCTCATCTCGTGTCCATGTTGCTTGCCCCTGAGGGAGACCCCGATGCACCAGACATCCCGACTCCGCGTTCTTACGCTGAGACGATCGTGGGTCCCTACTCCTCTCAGTGGCACACAGCCATGGACGCAGAGATGGCATCCTGGAAGTCCACAGGCACCTACGTCGACGAGGTTCCCCCACCTCGGGCGAACATCGTCAGTGGCATGTGGATTTTCAGGGTGAAGCGGCCGCCAGGTTCTCCACCGGTCTTCAAGGCTCGTTACGTTGCTCGAGGCTTCAGTCAGCGGGAGGGATTCGACTTCTTCCAGACCTTCTCCCCCACCCCAAAGATGACCACTCTTCGCGTGCTGCTGCACATAGCCGCTCAGCGTGACTACGAGCTTCACTCTCTTGACTTCAGCACAGCTTTCTTGCAGGGCAGCATGCACGAGGAGATCTGGCTGCGCCGCCCACCTGGCTTCACCGGGTCGTTCCCTCCTGGTACCCAGTGGAGCCTCCGGCGGCCAGTCTACGGTCTCCGCCAGGCGCCGCGTGAGTGGCACGACACACTGAGGACTACACTTGTGGCTCTTGGGTTTGCTCCGTCGACTGCTGACCCGTCGTTGTTTCTGCGCACCGACACTTTGCTGCCGCCGTTCTACATCCTCATGTACGTCGACGACTTGGTCTTTGCCACTGCTGACACTGAGGCCCTCGCCCTGGTGAAGTCGGAGCTGTAGAAGAGACACACGTGCGCCGACCTGGGTGAGCTGCGCAGCTACCTTGGCTTGCAGATCACCCGGGACAGAGCACGCCGCACCATCACACTAACTCAGTCACACATGGTGCAGCAGGTTCTTCAGCGCTTCGAATTCACTTGGTCCTCGGCACAGGCCACTCCTGTGGATACAGGTCACTCGCTCTTAGCTCCACCTTCGGACGAGTCCGTAGAGCCGAGTGGTCCTTACCCAGTGCTAGTGGGCTGTCTCATGTACCTGATGACATGCACTCGTCCTGACCTTGCGTTCCCTCTTGGCCTTCTGACTCACTACGTGGCTCTTGGTCGGCACCGAAAGGTGCACATGGATGCTGCTAAGAGGGTTCTAAGCTACTTGTGCAGTACATCAGGCATGAGGCTCGTGCTTGGAGGACGGAGCGACGTTGTCCTCACTGGGCACTCAGACGCTTCTTGGGTTGACAACCAGGCTATGCAGCGGTCGTCACAGGGTTACACCTTCAGCCTTGGCTCTGGTTCAGTTTCTTGGCGTTCTACACGCTTGTCTTCAATTCTTAGCTCCAATTGTGAGGCTGAGATCTACGCCACAGCCATGGCTGCACAGGAGTTACGCTGGCATACCTACCTGCTGACTGACTTGGGAGAGCGGCCTCGTTCTCCTCCAGTGCTGTACGTAGACAACAAGGCCGCCATTGCCTTGTGTCGGGAGCACAGACTGGAGCACAGAACGAAGCACATCACTCTGCGTTACTTCCTTGCTCGAGAGTTGCAGCAGCGTGGTCAGCTTCGTCTTGCTCACGTGGCCACTCAGGCCAACACTGCTGATATATTCACCAAGGCACTTCCGCTTGGTGATCATAAGCGCTTTTGTACTTTGTTGGGCCTTGTGCCTACGTTTCCTCACTCTCTGTAGGCTCTGCCTAAACTGTGATCTATATATATACACTTGCATGCTTGATTCTGGTAGGTAGAGATCACTATGCTGTTGTTGTTGCATATATACCTCTGCATGTGAACTGGCCTTGTGGCCCTTTGCTTGTGCTGAGTGTGTGTGGTGACGTTGTGATCCACCCTGAGCTTGCTTTGCTTCTCTTGACTGGTCTTGTGACCTCTTGCTCTCCCCCACTTTGCCTATGGGGGTGTGTCAAATTGTATGCATGTCATATATGTATAGGCTGTAGTGGGGTAGCCAATATGGGGTACAACCCCATTAGGGTTTCATATTTGTACCAAACCCTGATCCAGTCAATTCATTCTTGCTACTAGATTCTAACATTATATACAGGCTAGCCTCATTATACGACACCTATTTGTGTGTACGAGATAAGACATATGTGTATTATAATCGAAACTGCAATATATTATAGTGAAAATTGAAATACCGCGTACATTTTTAACCTTGCGACACGCGAACTCGGCCACGTGCTGACTCATATACTACCAAATTTGCCTCTGCAAGTATTCACCATGACGTGGCGTCCCGAACAATGGTTGCCGATGTGGTCAGCAGGGGGGACAGCCAGGTCCGCCATGTGGCATCTTTTCTAGATATGTGAAAATATTTCTAAGTAGTTTAAAAAAGTTTCCATTTATAAGACTTTTAAGACACCCAAAACCTTCCCAAATACAAGATTACCCAAGCATTTTTTTTAGTGTATGAGATAAGACATATATGTCTTATATCCGGGCGATGACGGTAGGTTGGCCGTGGAATTCACTCATCCTCTCGGACCTACCGTACCTATGTTCCCGCCCTCCTCACTCCCTTGCAGTGCTTTCTATTCCAATTGACGGCAAACGAAGCCTTCAGTTCGCTTGTTTCAGCATCCTGACATTCTTTAGGTTCGTGATGCTGAGCTTCAGCAACAAATTTGCCCACTCCATATCACACATTCCGAGACTCTCGCCAGCTTCCAAGCCTACCCCGTTTTCCGCCTTCCAATTTTGCTTGGCAAAAACAGGGATTCCCTTTGGCATCGGTACGCAGAATGGGATGGCGTTCACAGCAAGTTACCCCAAGCGAAGTTCCCCCAAGAGGCCCAAAAAGTGCAGATATTTGGGTCCAGCGTGCAGTTTTGCAACTGACCACACCCACTCCACGTGGCATGAGAATGTGGATACACACATAGACGAGTTTCAGCGAATGATCAAACCCAATCAGGGGCATGTAACCCCGTCAACCTTAAGATCGTTCATGACAAACTTTCGTGAAGCAACCCCAAACACGTGCTTCACAAATATATGTGCACTGTTGTTTGAGCACGGTTCGACTTGGGGGAACTTGCTGTGAACGCCATCTGAGTGGATCTCTAAGGCAGCTCAGGGTGGCTGTAAACTCTTTTTGTTATGGTAGTAACCGGAAGTACGGTATCTGTGGCCAGAACCCGAGGCACCGGAGTGCCATAATTTCTAGGTTGGTGTTTAGGTTCCAATGGGTGTTTGATTTCCACTGTAATAATTAACTTTACAACATCGGAGTGTCTACCTCCTAGGGTTATACGGTACAACACAGCTCGACTATGGAAAAGGGTGAACTACCAGCTATATCACTTCTTTCCTCCCTTGCCACCTTTCCCCCCTTTTCCACCCTTGCCGCCCTTTCCTCCCTTCCCCCCCTTCGCACCCTTCACACTCTGAATAGTAGCGAAGTTGGAACCGACAGAACCCCCCTGATCCTCGACAGCTCCCCCTTGCTGTCCGCCCCGTTCCCCCTGCTATCCGCCCTGCTGTCCGCCCTGCTGCCCACCCTGCTGCCCGCCCTGCTGCCCGCCCTGCTGCCCGCCGGGTCCGCCCTGCTGTCCGCCATGTCCGCCCTGCTGTCCCCCATGCTGGCCGCCTTGCTGTCCGCCCTGCTGTCCGCCGTGCTACCCGCCCTGTTGCCCGCCGGGTCCGCCCTGCTGTCCGCCAGGTCCGCCCTGTTGCCCGCCGGGTCCGCCCTGCTGTCCCCCCTGCTGGCCGCCCTGCTGCCCGCCCTGTTGCCCACCAGGTCCGCCCTGCTGTCCGCCCTGCTGTCCGCCATGTCCGCCCTGCTGTCCCCCCTGCTGGCCGCCCTGCTGTCCACCCTGCTCCCCGCCGGGTCCGCCCTGCTGTCCGCCAGGTCCGCCCTGGTGTCCGCTGCGTCCACCCTGCTGTCCCCCTTGCTGGCCGCCCTGCTGTCCGCCCTGCTGTCCGCCGGGTCCGCCCTGCTGTCCGCCCTGCTGTGCGCCAGGTCCGCCCTGCTGTCCGCCAGGTCCGCCCTGCTGTCCCCCCTGCTGGCTGCCCTGCTGTCCACCCTGCTCCCCCCCAGGTCCGCCCTGCTGTCCGCCAGGTCCGCCTTGCTGTCCGCCAGGTCCGCCATGCTGTCTGCCAGGTCCGCCCTGCTGTCCGCCAGGTCCGCCCTGCTGTCCCCCCTGCTGGCCGCCCTGCTGTCCGCCCTGCTGTCCGCCCTGCGGCTGTCCGCCGGATCCGCCCTGCTGTCCGCCCTGTGGCTGTCCGCCGGGTCCGCCCTGCTGTCCGCCATGTCCGCCCTGCTGTCCGCCAGGTCCGCCCTGCTCCCCGCCGGGTCCGCCCTGCTGTCCGTCGGGTCCGCCCTGCTGTCCGCCCTGCTGTCCGCCAGGTCCGCCCTGCTGTCCGCCGGGTCCGCCCTGCTGCCCGCCGGGTCCGCCCTGCTGCCCGCCGGGTCCGCCCTGCTGCCCGCCGGGTCCGCCCTGCTGTCCGCAGGGTCCGCCCTGCTGTCCGCCGGGTCCGCCCTGCTGTCCGCCGGGTCCACCCTGCTGTCCGCCGGGTCCGCCCTGCTGTCCGCCGGATCCGCCCTGCTGTCCGCCGGGTCCGCCCTGCAGTCCGCCGGGTCCGCCCTGCTGTCCTCCGGGTCCGCCTTGCTGTCCACCGGGTCCGCCGCCCACATCTCCGCCACTGCCGCCGCCCAGGTCTCCGCCGCTGCCTCCGCCCAGATCTCCGCCGCTGTCGTTGCCCAAATCTTCGCCGCTGCCGCCGCCCAAATCACAGCCGCTGCCGCCGCCCAAATCTCCGCCGCTTCTGCCGCCCAAATCTCCGCCGCTTCCGCCGCCCAAATCTTCTCCACTTCCGCCACCCAAATCTCCTCCGCTGCCGCCGTCCAAATCTCCGCCGCTGCCGCCGCCCAAATCTCCGCCGCTGCCGCCGCCCAAATCTCCGCCGCTGCCGCCGCCTAAATCTCCGCCGCTGCCGCCGCCCAAATCTCCGCCACTGCCGTGTCAAACTTATATGCTATAGTCTGTGTAGGCTGTAGTGGGGTAGACTATATGGGGTACAACATTTCTAGGTTTTCCTACTTGTACCCACCTGCTTGCTAGTTCATGCATTCCTCATTCTTCACATGGTATAGAGCAGGTTCCCTCGTGGGAACGCTTCTCAGGGCCCACCACCTAACTCGATCTTTTTTTTTTTCCTGCCCGAAGCGTGCCCCGTAGGCCGCCCTCACGTCGCGCCCTCCTAGAGGCCCCTTGCGCCACCCTTAGCGGCCCCGTCGCCGTCCTTAGCGACCCCGTTGCCGCCCCTCTAGGCCCCTCGCGGCCCCTTCACGGCCCCGTCGTCGACGCTCTAGGCCCCGTCGCCGCCGCTCTAGGCCCCTCGCGGCCCCTTCACGGCCCCGTCGCCGCCGCTCTAGGCCCCGTCGCCATCCCTACAGGCCCCCTCGCGGCCCCTTCACGGCCCACTCGCCGCCCCTAGCGGCCCCGTCGCCGCCCCTCTAGGCCCCTCGCAGCCCCTTCGCGGCCCCGTCGCCGCCACTTGCAGCCCCGTCGCCGCCCCCTCTAGGCCCCTTACGGCCCCTTCGCGGCCTCGTCGCCGCCCCTCTAGGACCCTTGCGGCCCATCTGCGGCCCTGTCGCCGCCCCTAGCGGCCCCGTCGCCGCCCGTGGAGGCCCCGTCGCCGCCCTTCGCGGCCACCTCGCCGCCCTTAGCGGTCCCGTCGCCGCCCCTAACGGCCCCATCGCCGCCTCTATCGGCCCCGTCGCCGCCTCTACCGGCCCCGTCGCCGCCTCTACCGGCCACTTCACCGCTAAGCAGCCCAGCAGCTGAGCAGCCAAACCACCCAGAAGTCGAGCCGCCCAGCAGCCGAGCCGCCGAGCCGCCGAGCCGCCGAGCCGCCCAGCAACCGAGCCGCCGAGCCGCCCAGCACCCAAGCCGCCCAACAGCCGAGCCGCCGAGCCGCCCAGCAGCCGAGCCGCCGAGCCGCCCTGCCGTCGAGCCGCTACTGTTCCTACCGGCGCGCCCCGGCCCTACTTACTCGGACTGGTGAGATCACTCCCTGCTAGGCCACTGCAGTCATGGCTACCCCCAGTGTCCTTACCTTTGATGCTGAGGGTCGTGCTGTTGACTTTGAGGTCAGGGTCGATGACCTCCAGCTGTTCGTACAGTGCGATAGGGCAGACAGACTCTCCCTGTTCGATCTCACCTCTGGTGCCTCTCCTGCCCCGCCTGCTACTGCTGACAGCACTGTTCGCTCACAGTGGGCCACACACGATGCTGTTGCCCGCCTTACTATGCGTCGCCACTTACCGACCACTGAGCGTGCGCACTTTAGCCAGTACAAGAGTGCTAAGACCTTGTACGACGCTGTAGTTGCACGCTACTCCTCCCCGGCCACTGCTGCGCTTAGCCGCCTCATGCTGTCGTACCTGTTCCCTGACCTTGTTGCCTTTCCCACAGTCGCTGACCTCATTACGCACCTTCGCACTAGTGACACTCGCTAACGCGCTGTGCTTCCTGCTGAGTTCTGTGCCAAGAACCCCCCCCCCCATGTACATCACCCTCTACTACATAGTCACCCGGCTCCCTGACTCCCTTCGCTTAGTCAGGGACCACTTCCTCTTAGTTTGCCCCACCACACTCACCGTTGACCTCCTCGAGGAGCGCCTCCTAGCAGCAGAGAAGAGCATTGTCGCTGTAGGAGCCTCTCTTGGTGACCCTCGCACCCCCGTCTTTGAGGGGTGTTCCCCCTGCCCCCTCTTGCCTTCTGTTGCTTCTGCTGCTGCGGCCGACCTCGTTGGTTTTGAGTCGGTCGGCGCTGCGTCTGCCCCTAGCGGGAGACGCCGCACCGGCAAGGGCAAGGGGGGCAAGGGCGCTGGAGGGTCTGGCGGGGGCGGTGGGGGTGGTGGTGGAGGCAGTGGAGGGGGTGGGGGTGGTGGTAGGAGTGGTGACGGGGGTGGAGGTGTCGGTGGCAGCAGTGGAGGCGGAGGAGGCGGCGGCGGTGGCGGAGGGAGCGGAGGCGGCGGAGGTGGCGGAGGCGGCGGAGGTGGCGGAGGCGGCGGAGGCAGCGGTGGAGCTGGTCGTGGCTCTGCGCAAAGGAGTGGCTCCGATGGTGGTCCGCGCCAGCAGCAGCAGCGCAGTCGTGAGACCCCGTCCCCCCAGCAGCTTCGTGAGTGGTACGCTGGGCGTCAGCGAGGTGGGGGTACAGGTCCCTGCACCTACGTCCTCCGTACCGGCGACCGCGCAGGTGAGCAGTGCGGGGGGCCGCACTCCACCCAGCGCTGCTTCGGCCGCCTGACGGACGCGTGGCGTCACCAGTTCCATGACGATACTGTGATCCCTCGCTGGGGAGAGCTGTCTAGGGCGGGGGTTGCTATCTTTGATCTTGATTATGATGCTATTCTTGCTGCCATGTATGCTGTGTGTACTAGTGATGAGGGTGACTGTTACCTGTGTGTTTCGCCTGACCCGGGCATTGAGGCTGCTGCTCTAGGTGCTGGTGAGGCTGCTGCTCTAGGTGCTAGTGCGTCTACTGCCCTAGGTGCTGGTGAGTCTGCTCTCTTAGGTACTACGTCGGCTCAGGCCTTACACACCTTCACCCTTGACTCGGGTGCTTCCCGCTCCTTCTTTCGAGACCGCACCACGCTTACGCCGCTTAGTCGGCCGGTTGCAGTCTCCCTGGCGGACCCCTCTGGGGGTCCTGTCCTTGCTAGCTTCTCCACTGTCTTACCGTGCCCGGCAGCCCCCTTTGGCACCGTGTCAGGTGTTTGCTGCAGCGTCCAGGTCTGGTCCTGAGTCTGCGCCCTGCTCGTGTCGTCTCCTATCCCACCAGACTCTCCTCTGGCACCACCGCCTTGGTCACCCCTCCCTGCCTCGTCTCCGAGGCATGGCCTCCCGTGTCCTTGTCTCTGGTCTCCCCCGGTCCCTACCTCCCCTACCTTCGGGGCCTGCCCCTACCTGCGTCCCCTGCGTCGAGGGGCGACAGCGCGCCGCCCCTCGCTCCTCCGAGTTTCCTCCGACAGAGGCTCCACTGCAGACTCTTTACATGGACATGTGGGGCCCCGCCCACGTCCGTGGCCAGGGTCACGAGCGTTACTTCTTGTTGGTGGTTGACGACTACTCGCGGTACACCACGGTGTTCCCCTTGCGCAGCAAGGGTGACGTCACTGAGTTGTTGATCGACTGGATCCGCGCAGCTCGTCTCCAGCTCAGAGAGAGTTTCGGCTCGGACTTTCCTGTTCTGCATCTGCACTCTGACAGAGGCGGGGGGTTTTCCTCTGCCCGTCTGGGAGCCTTCTGTCGTGCACAGGGCATCCGCCAGACCTTCACGCTTCCGGCCTCTCCACAGAAAAATGGGATTGCTGAGCGCCGCATTGGCATGGTCATGGACGTCGCTCGTATGTCCATGATCCATGCGGCTGCCCCCCATTTTCTGTGGCCGTTTGCGGTTCAGTACGCAGCGCATCAGCTCAACCTTCAGCCCCGGGTCTCCTTGTTAGAGACCTCCCCCACCTTGCAGTGGACGGGGAAGGTTGGCGATGCGTCTGCGTTTCGGGTCTGGGGATCTCGGGCGTTTGTCCGCGACTTGTCTGCGGACAAGCTGTCCCCCCGTGCTGTTCCCTGCGTCTTCCTTGGCTTTCCCCCTTACGCGCCTGGGTGGCAGTTTTACCACCCCACCTCGCGCCGTGTTCTGTCCTCCCAGGACGTCACCGTTTACGAGTCGGTGCCTTACTACCGTCTCTTCCCCTACCGCACTGCGCCCCTCCCCCCGCCGCCGCTCTTCCTTGCGCCAGGTCCTCCCCTGGTAGACCCCCTCCCCCCTCAGGGTCCTGCCCCGTCAAGTGTGTCCCAGGTAGACGTAGTCGAGCCGGTCGAGGTAGCTGTTGACTCTGGTGCTGCTAGAGGTGCTGAGCCTGCGGGTGCGCGGTCTGGAGGTGCTGAGCTTGGGAGTGCGGAGCCTGGGGGTGCTGAGCTTGGGGGTGCTGAGTCTGGGGGTGCTGAGCCTGGGGGTGCTGAGTCTGGGGGTGCTGAGCCTGAGGGGTGCTGAGCTAGGGGATGCGGAGCGTGGGGGTGCTAGGTCTGCTCGTGTGGCCTCTCGCGGTGCTTCGTCGAGGCGGGAGCTACTCTCTCCGCAGGAGCTGCGCGAGTAGTTTGCCCGGCGCTAGAGCCGTGCTGCTGGAGTTGGTCCTGCTGGAGGTACTGCTGGAGCTGCCGGCGGTACTGGAGCTGCCGGTCCTATTGGCGTTGGTGAATCTGCTGTTGGTGGTGCGTCTGAGGGTGCTGGAGTTGGCGGTGTTGGAGCTGGAGGTGCTGCTGGCGCTAGTGCTGCCGTTGAGGGTACTGGTGTTGTCCCTGCTAGTTCTGGAGGCGCTGCGCGGCTGAGGTCCTACTTTGTTCCACTCCTTGAGCAGGTTCTTGGTCCCCCGCCCTCTACTAGTCCTGCTCCTCCCTTAGAGTGTCCACAGCATGTCGAGTCGCGGTCACAGTCACAGCCCGCCTCCCCCCTGCCTGCTCCTTCTCCCTACACTGGTCCTACTGGAGGTCTTGCTGAGCGTCGTGAGCCTGCGTCTCGTCCTGCGTCGCCTGTTTGTGCTGCTCGCACTAGTGGTCGTGCTTTGCGTCTGCGTCCTCCTACGGTCCCAGGCACACACCAGATGGCACTGCGTCCTTCCACTGCTCCTCTACGTGTCCCGTTGCCGTCTCCTCAAGAGTCCTCTCTTCCTGTTCTTGCTGACCCGGAGTCTGACTCTCTTCGTGCTGCCAGTCCTACTATCACGCATCTCCTGGCTACTGTTGTCACTGACCCTTCCATTGAGTCCACTGCTGCATCTGCCCTAGTTGCTGAGCTTGTCGACTTTGCTGCTCGCTGTCGTCTCAACTACTCTGCTAGTCTTGTTGCTGAGTCTGAGTCTGTCTGTCCTCCGTCCGTCGGGGGTGAGTGTGCTCTTAACACAGACGTCCTTGAGGACAGGCAGGAGGAGTTCCAGTGTTTTGCTACTGCTTTACCTCATCTCGTGTCCACGCTGATTGCCCATGAGGGAGACCCGGATGCACCAGACATCCCGACTACTCGATCGTACGCTGAGGCGATCGAGGTTCCCTACTCCTCACAGTGGCAGTCAGCCATGGACGCAGAGATGGCTTCCTGGAAGTCCACAGGCACCTACGTCGACGAGGTTCCCCCACGTGGGGCGAACATCGTCAGTGGCGTGTGGATTTTCAGGGTGAAGCGGTCGCCAGGTTCTCCGCATGTCTTCAAGGCGCGTTACATGGCTCGAGGCTTCAGTCAACGGCAGGGAGTTGACTACTTTCATACCTTCCCTCCCACCCCGAAGATGACCACTCTTTGGGTGCTGCTGCACATAGCCGCTCAGCGTGACTACGAGCTTCACTCTCTTGACTTCAGCACAGCTTTCCTGCAGGGCAGCCTGCACGAGGAGATCTGGCTGCGCCGCCCACCTGGCTTCACTGGGTTGTTTCCTCCTGGTACCCAGTGGAGCCTCCGGCGGCCAGTCTACGGTCTCCGCCAGGCGCCCCGTGAGTGGCACGACACACTGAGGACTACACTTGCGGCTCTTGGGTTTGCTCCTTCTACAGCCGACCCGTCGCTGTTTCTGCGCACCGACACCTCTTTGCCGCCGTTCTACATCCTTGTGTACGTCGACGACTTGGTCTTTGCCACTGCTGACACTGCTGGACTCGCCCACGTGAAGTCCGAGCTGCAGAAGAGACACACGTGCAC